CGTGATCTGGACAAATTGGAGGGAGTCCAGAGGAGAGCAACAAAAATGATTAAAAGGTTTAAAAACCAGACTGATGAGGAAAGGTTAAAAAAACTGGACATGTTTAGTTTTGAGAAAATAAGCCCCTGGGGGGGAAGAGACCTGATAACAGGCTTCATATATGTTAAAGGCTGTTATAAAGAGGACGGTGATCAATTGTTTGCCACGTCTACCCTAGATAGAACAAGAAACAATCAATTTAATATGCAGCAGGAGAGATTTAGGTTAGATATTAGGAAAAGTTTATAACAAGAAGGCTAGTTCATGACATAGGTTACCAAGTGAGGTTTCGGAAACCCCATCAGTGGAGGTTTTCAAGAACAGGTTAGATAAACATCTATTGGCAGGGTCTAGGTTTATTTGGTCTTGCTTCAGTGCAAGGAGTTGGACTAAATGACTCTCAAGGTCCCTTCCAACCCTATATTTGCATGATTCTATGCCACATGTGCAAGTCTGCCTCTAAGTGTCTTACTAGTACCTACTATTAAATGGAACGTGGGTGCTGCACAAATGTATGTCATGTCACCATGTAATGACTACAACCTACACATGATAGAAGCCCTTATAGTTCTATAGAAGCATGACTGTTTCAGAGGCTAACAGTACTGTGTACAGAGCCAGGTAAAATTTTTCAATCAAGAATTTGAGTTCAACAAAAAAAAATGCAGATTTTGCAACACCAAAATGTTTCATGAATTCATATCAATATGACCAATTGGTTCATTTCAGCACAAATATGCAAAAAAGAAAAACATTTTATTTTAACATTTTCAAAACAAAGTTTGATTCAAAGTGATGTTTTTTCAAAATTTCCTTTTAATTTAATTCTTTTTAATGTCCAATGTCTAAGCATTAGTCAAACAAAACATTTCATTTGAAACAATATTTGTAAACGTCTCTATTTACCTTGAGCAAGGCTTGCCAAGTTTAAATTACAGCTAGGATTTGCTACTGGTTTTATGCAATTTACTAGCTTTATGCTAATGTGGGTACCCTTCTCCCCCTAAAAAGCAAATTCAGTGTAATGGAATTCCTTTTGGAACATTCCTTTTTGTGTTTGACTGATTTTTCCCCTGTGGAATATTTTGACCTAATTATGACTGTAGTTCTTCTTTGCTGTAAAATGCTTTAAAAAACAATCAAACCAGGGTTTAAGTTTAAAGTCCTGAGGCTTTTGTTAATCTGTCATCTCAATTCTAAAAAGGGGAGATGGCAGTACCACTTTGTAAAAGAGCCAGGTAAAATGCAATGCTATAAATAAGTAGAACACCCAGCAAGCTTGTGCACTTGGGGTTGGGCCCCTATCCAACTCCATTAAAGTCAGTGGATCAGGCCTTTGATGAACAGGGGTTTCAGAAGAGGCTAAGCATAATTATTTTAACTGACAACAGGGTGCTGAGTTAGGGTCTAACTTCTGAGCAGAGGAATTTAATGACTCCTAAAATACAGGAGGTTGTAGTTGAAGTCAGAGGCATAATGAACTTGTCAGCTCAGAGGACTTGACACAAAAAAAAAATCTGACGGCAGAGATTCCTTAGTAACAGCTCTTTGCTAGGAAAATTTGCAGAAAGATTGAAAAGCCCCATAATTCCCAGAGGAATTATGCCAAGCCCATTTCTATTGCTCTCAAAACAAGCAAATGACTTGGCAGTAACTCTCGACTCTTATTGTCTTGTTGTATCTCTACCACTCAGTAGAGCACTGATGAAAATGTGTCATATAAAAGTCATTAGTCCGGCATTGTTCGGAAAGCAGAGCGAAGGTAGATGCCATATATGTTACTGGCATAGGCCAACTCTTGCACTTTGTTAGCGTATGTTTGAACAAGGTTTTGGGTTAGTGATATGTTCTTTGTGACGGGTTTGTACATTTGTAAGTTTGTATAAGCTACAAATCTACAAAATAATTCTATTAACAAAATTCCCACAAACTTATCATTCAACACAATACTATTTTTCAAAACCATATCAAAATTCTTAGCCACTCACAGGTTTTCATATTGGATAGGTATTTTAATACGTTTACACTATGCTTTTCAGAACAAAATAAAAAGGTGTTTGCTGACACTGATTGCAATGGAAGCAACTCTTGCTATTTTTCAGTCCCTTAATTTATGTCAGAAATATCAATAAATTGCATATTATTTAATACTTTTGTGTTGAATATTGGCCTGAACCAAAATAAGAATATCAAGAAATTACTTTTTTTATACAAGTGATCTTGGGCATACAGAACCCTTGCCAATCAATATTACCGATCCATTTTTTGTTTGGAAAAGCAATCTTTTGGTCAGAAACTACTCAGCAATCAGCACTCAGCAATTACCGCTTACCAGATGCAAAAATCTGAAGGAGCTTCAGATGAAAAACACACTCTATTCTTTAATCAAAACAAATGAGTGGACTGTTAGCAACCCTGAATTACCCCTATACGCTATGAAATAAAAATGGTGAAAGCTGAGTCACAACTCTGCAAATAGATCGTGTTGTTTTTCCTCTTCACGTCACAGTTAACATGCCCTGTATTTGAATCTAAACTGTCATCCATAAAGAGCGAAAGGACTGGATTACTGAGAAATGAAGCTGTTGGCTTCCTCCTCTTCAAAGGTTTCTTGCAGACTATCAACTGTAACTTGCACCTTCACTTCACAGAATGATGCTCTCCTGACATCACTGTCAGAGTTTTGCCCTATATCCCTAGCTAGCTCGTCTTTCCAAGAAATCCTGACACACATTGCACACTTAAATCAAACGCAGACTATACAAACATTTATATACAAATTTGTAAAGTATGCACTACTCTAGAACCAAATCCTGCTCACAATAGGCTTTGTCTACACTGGCAAGGGAAAGACAAAACTTTCATCATTCAGAGGTGTTAAAAAAACACACACACACCCCGCGAAAGACAAAAGTTTTGCCCATGACAAGTACCAACAAAGGATCTGTCCCTTTAATTGTCAACTTCCTGGGGGACAAGCACTTCATCCCACTCCATATCTTAACAACACCAAGCACACAGTCAGTGATTAGAAAGGGCTGCATCTTGTTCCCATTGACATCAATGGCAAAACTTCTACTGACTTCAGTGGGCCCTGCCTAATTTATGAAAGGAGGAATCTGGCTGATAAGCATAGGTTTTTGATTGTGGAAGCATCGGGAACAACAATCACATAGGTTGGGATTCATTAGCTAATTTGTCCTCCTTCAAATCATTAAGCCCACTGTGGGTGGAAAAAGGAGTAGGAAAACATACTTAGGATGAAGAACGAGGAGGACTTGTGGCACCTTAGAGACTAACAAATGTATTTGAGCATAAGCTTCACTACAAAAGGTTTTTTTCTCCTGCTGATAATAGCTCACCTTAATTGATCATTCTTATTATAGTGTGTATGGCAATATCCATTTTTTCATGTTCTCTGTGTGTATATATATATATCTATATCTTCCTACTGTATTTTCCACTGCATGCATCAGATGAAGTGGGTTTTAGCCCATGAAAGCCTATGCTCAAATACATTTGTTAGTCTCTAAGATGCCACAAGTACTTCTCGTTCTTTTTGCTGATACAGACTAACATGGCTACCACTCTGATACTTAGGATGGTTTCTCAATTATTTTGGTATTCTATTTCTGTTTCATAGTTAACACAATCTGTTGGAGAAAAGACACTGGACTATATAGACCACAGGTCTGGGTCCCAGCTGGCAATTCCTGTGCTCCTGTTAGATTCTAAAGTCTATGATGCTCTTGGAAAAAAACAGCACATGTTGCTCTCAGCTGGCAGACGCTGAAATGTACATGATTTGTACAACAGCTTTCCTACTGCTCCTATTCCTGTACCAACGAAGGGAGCAGTAAATGGCACTTTAAAATAATCATTAATCTGCTGAAATGGCCACCATTTCCATAGTTTGTAAAGTACCCATTTAAAGGATCAAAGTCTAACACAAATTTTTTATTTACACAATATTTATAAAGTTTATTTTTCTATCCAAAATGTTGTTGCATCAGGTACCCTTTAACACTTGGTAATTCAAAACAGCTTTTTAAAAAATGTAATGTTCGAAAGATGTTAATTGATGTTTCAGATTAATTACTTTTGTTGTTTCGGAAAATAATCAAAATTACCAAATCATTATGATTTTAAAATTATGATGCATACACATGATTATTTCAGAAAACAACTGACTTGAATTGATCCAGTAACACTACTGATTTTAAAATTACATTTTTGAAAGTCCAGTTACTTAAAGTTACCATTTACTGTACCATTGTGGTCTATAGGGACAACTAACTATAATTTTTCTTTCCATCTCTGTTCTTCTCCTAGGACTCCCTCGCTCATACCTGAGCCCTGCCCCACCACAGAAATCTGCAACTCTCTCCCTCCCACATTGGCAGAATGGTAACATCCCAATTTCATAAAGCAAACCCAAGGGAATTCAGATTTAAGGTCCAAGATTTTCGTTCTAACTTTCATTGTTTTGCCGAACACAAATCCCAGCCCACCCAGCCAATCAACGTGGAAATGGCAGCCCAAAGCTTTTGCCTTCACTCTCCATTTCTTTGCGCCCGTGGGTTTAACCAGCCTTTTGACAATGACCCTTGGATGCTGAAGGAGGTACCAAACTACCCCGCTTTCCTCCAAAGGCGTGAAAAACAGCCGCGAATCCTGTTTAATTCGAAATTGCCGTGGCAATTCCTGGCATCTGTGCGGGGGTCAGCATAAGGCTCATTCTCCCCCCGTCCCATGGAGGGTCATGGAAACGACCCCCCCCCCCCGAAAATGCAGGGCAAGCCGTCCTAATAACGTACACCCAGGCCGGGCTGGTGCCTGCCCACCCAGGCCGTGCGGCCCCCGGAGTTGGATGTACTCGGGACACTCTCTCTGCGCCTTTAAGAGCTTTCCAAGGTACCGGCTCTTCCCGGCAAGTCAGCCCGCCGGGCGGTGAACCTTACCCGGGCCTGAGGCTGGCAGGCTCCCCAGCACCTGCTCCGTGGCGACTGCAAACAGCCCCCCCGCGCTGGAGGCCGGTGCGGGCACCGAGCTGGGCTCAGCCGCCCGGGCGCTTCCTCCGCCGGCGCGGGTGCGCTGATCTCGGGGCAGGATGCAGCGGCGAGCCCGCGCTGGCCCTTTCCCATCCGCTCGCCCCGGACCGCGCCCGCCCGACGCGCAGCTCCCCCGCCCCAGCCGGGGCCAGCCGGCTCTTCCCCACCCCAGCCGCCTGCATCAGTCACGCCGCCGCCCGCCTCACCCCGCGCCCGGGCAGCCGCCTACGTGTCTTTGTGCACGTCGGCCCGGGGCTCCCTGGCTTCCCGGGCCCGAGCTCGCTCCAGGGGACAGCGCCCGCGGGTCCTCGCCCCTTCGCACGCGTTCAAGCGGCACCCGGCTGTTTGTGGGCTCCCCTCCACCGCTGTGCCCGGCCCAGGGAGAGGCGTCTGCAGGACGCAGCCCTGAGGGGTGGCCAACGAAATCGGGTGCTGCTGGCCCGATTACATCCTCCACCCCGGCCAGCTTGTCTTTCCTGGCAAGCATTGAAGCGTCAAGGAGTTTGGGGCACGTTTTTCCTCTGCTTGTTAGTGGGAAAGCACCATCCGTGGACAAACCCCGTCAAGACACGCTCCTGGCCCCCAGCAGTTTCTAGCTGAGCGGAGATCACCCTTCAACCACAAAGGAGCGGAGGCTAGGGGACCCCCCGCAGCTTTGTATGTAACAGTCACAACATCTCTTGCATCAACAAACAGGCGCTGCTCCTTCCCTCTTTGTTGCCAGGTGAGGCATTGCCAACTTAACCCCTAGCTGAGCTCCTTTTCTTTTCACGGGCTAGCAATTGCCTCTCCTGAAGCCTTATCTTTCTCCCACTAAAATCAGTGACGAAAGTCCCATTGACTTCAGCGGGTTTGGGATCAGGAGTTCACTTGCAAGACCCCTGGAAAAAAAATCCTTCAAAGAAGGTGGAGTTAAGTGGAAAGTGTGTCTCAAGTCATGAAGGGAAGCTAAAGGTCAGTGATGCTATATCTGGCTGTTTAGTTCTCTTAGTATATGTTGGGAGGGTTTCTCAGGCATTGCTGCCTGTACAAAATCTGCATTTGTCACAGGTTATCCATTTATTTATCTTCAGTCCATTTCCACCCTGTGACAAAAATGGCAATTTGCTGCAATATCTTTGGGAGATCTTACTGTATTGTTTGTGTATCCTTGTGGGCAGGAACAGTATATAATTCCATGGGGGAGGGGGAATCATGGCCCTCCGGGAACTAAGAACAGTGAGGGGGTGATTAGGCAAATTCACTCAGGTTGTAGCATCTCCAGACATGTACCACCACCTGGAAAGGCTTGCATATACTGCTTCAAACCGGATTCTCCAGAGACCAATAGACAAAGAAAGGACTTTCAGTTAAAGAGCCTGAGTTTAGACTGACTCAGGGTCTTCTTTGTGATCCACCAAGCAGACAGGCCCTGTGGTCTAAGGGGGCTCCCAATCCTTCCTGGGAAAGGATGGAAGGACTTTGGCTTACTGAGGCCCCATAAGCTTGATTGGTGACCTCTGGTCAGCTTTTAGCAGGTGTATAGGAACGTTTATTGGGTTTTATATGTTTTCTCTGTAATGCTTTCACCTTAAGAATAAGTGAAGAGAGGGAAGAGCATCTTCACAAGCAGGCTGGCAAACCTAGTGAGGAGGGCTTTAAACTAGGTTCACTGGGAGAAGGAGTCCAAAGCCCTGAGGTAAGTGGGGAAGTGGGATACCGGGAGGAAGCACGAGCAGGAGCGCGCGAGAGGGCAGGGCTCCTGCCTCATACTGAGAAAGAGGGACGATCAGCTAGTTATCTCAAGTGCCTATACACAAATGCAAGAAGCCTGGGAAACAAGCAGGGAGAACTGGAAGTCCTGGCACAGTCAAGGAATTATGATGTGATTGGAATAACAGAGACTTGGTGGGATAACTCACATGACTGGAGTACTGTCATGGATGGTTATAAACTGTTCAGGAAGGACAGGCAGGGCAGAAAAGGTGGGGGAGTTGCACTCTATATAAAGGAGCAGTATGACTTCTCAGAGCTCAAGTATGAAACTGCAGAAAAACCTTCTTCAACAAAAAAACTTCAAAAACAGACTCCAGCGAGAGACTGCTGAATTGGAATTAATTTGCAAATTGGATACAATTAACTTAGGCTTGAATAGAGACTGGGAGTGGTTGAGTCATTACACAAAGTAAAACTATTTCCCCTTGTTTATTCCCCCCCTCCCCCACTGTTCCTCAGACGTTCTTGTTAACTGCTGGAAATGGCCCACCTTGATTATCACTACAAAAGGTTTTCTCCCCCCTCCACCCCACTCTCCTACTGGTAATAGCTCATCTTAAGTGATCACTCTCCTTACAGTGTGCATGATAAACACCCATTTTTTCATATTCTGTGTGTATATAAATCTCCTCACTGTATTTTCCACTGAATGCATCCGATGAAGTGAGCTGTAGCTCACAAAAGCTTATGCTCAAATAAATTGGTTAGTCTCTAAGGTGCCACAAGTACTCCTTTTCTTTTTTTGAGAAAAACCTGAGTGTCTCTGGATTAAGTTTAGAAGCGTGAGCAACAAGGGTGATGTCGTGGTGGGAGTCTGCTATAGACCACCGGACCAGGGGGATGAAGTGGATGAGGCTTTCTTCCGGCAACTCACGGAAGTTACTAGCTGGCAGGCCCTGGTTCTCATGGGAGACTTCCATCACCCTGATATCTGCTGGGAGAGCAATACAGCGGTGCACAGACAATCCAGGAAGTTTTTGGAAAGTGTAGGGGACAATTTCCTGGTACAAGTGCTGGAGGAACCAACTAGGGGCAGAGCTCTTCTTGACCTGCTGCTCACAAACCAGGAAGAATTAGTAGGGGAAGCTAAAGTGGATGGGAACCTGGGAGGCAGTGACCATGAGATGGTTGAGTTCAGGATCCTGACACAGGGAAGAAAGGAGAGCAGCAGAATACGGACCCTGGACTTCAGAAAAGCAGACTTTAACTCCCTCAGGGAACTGATGGACAGGATCCCCTGGGAGAATAACATGAGGGGGAAAGGAGTCCAGGAGAGCTGGCTATATTTTAAAGAATTTTAAAGAATTTTATTGAGGTTACAGGGACAAACCATCCCGATGTGTAGAAAGAATAGTAAATATGGCAGGCGACCAGCTTGGCTTAACAGTGAAATCCTTGCTGATCTTGAACACAAAAAAGAAGCTTACAAGAAGTGGAAGATTGGACAAATGACCAGGGAGGAGTATAAAAATATTGCTCGGGGATGCAGGAGTGAAATCAGGAAGGCCAAATCACACCTAGAGTTGCAGCTAGCAAGAGATGTTAAGAGTAACAAGAAGGGTTTCTTCAGGTATGTTAGCAACAAGAAGAAAGTCAAGGAAAGTGTGGGCCCCTTACTGAATGATGGAGGCAATCTAGTACAGAGGATGTGGAAAAAGCTAATGTACTCAATGCAGAGCCATTGCAGAGCCATTGGCCATTATCTTTGAAAACTCCTGGCGATCCAGGGAAGTCCCAGATGACTGGAAAAAGGCTAATGTAGTGCCCATCTTTAAAAAAGGGAAGAAGGAGGATCCTGGGAACTATAGGCCAGTCAGCCTCACCTCAGTCCCTGGAAAAATCATGGAGCAGGTCCTCAAGGAATCAATTCTGAAGCACTTAGAGGAGAAGAAAGTGATCAGGAACAGTCAGCATAGATTCACCAAGGGCAAGTCATGCCTGACTAATCTAATTGCCTTCTATGATGAGATAACTGGCTCTGTGGATGAGGGGAAAATGGTGGATGTGTTGTTCCTTGACTTTAGCAAAGCTTTTGACACGGTCTCCCACAGTATTCTTGCCAGCAAGTTAAAGAAGTATGGGCTGGATGAATGGACTATAAGGTGGATAGAAAGTTGGCTAGATTGTTGGGCTCAACGAGTAGTGATCAATGGCTCCATGTCTAGTTGGCAACCGGTATCAAGTGGAGTGCCCCAACGGTCGGTCCTCGGGCCGGTTTTGTTCAATATCTTCATAAATGATCTGGAGGATGGTGTGGATTGCACCCCATTGCACCTTCACCTTCTATTATCGGGTCCTCAAGGAAGGGTGTGAGTATGTTACGTTAAGGTATTTATAATAGGAATGTTACCACCAGGAGTTTTGGAATTCTTTTACTGTTTTGCAGTCATAAGTTTCATAGCATTTATTATTCTTTTGTTAACCGCAATAAAGCTTTTCTCAATTTGGTATCGTCCTCAGTGTTAGTGTTTTTGCCAAGCCCCAGAGAGTGCTCTTCCGGTATAGAACTGAGTTATGGGACCCTGTATTCTGAATTGGACAAGACCTTATAAATCTTCTGGTTGGATGTGATCAGTGGCGAGCCATAACAACTAACCCATAAAATTCAGGTCAACAACTGTGCCCCGCCATAGGGGGGGGGGGGGGCAGGGCCTGGTCATTAAAGCAGGGCTCCTGACTAGGCAGGGCTCTTAGGCCCCATGTGGGCTCTGTGGCAGGTGACTGACTGGCCAGCTGCTCGCATGTGGGTGCTGCCACTTTGTTTTGTTTGTTCATGGGGGGCGGGGGGACTTACTCAGCCCACCCCTATACATTATAGCCATCACTGAGGTGGGGGCAGGCTCCCCGCAACTACCCTCACTGGACTGACCAGGTGGAGGCTGCCCTCACTCAGCCCTGGCCCCGCCCTCACTGGAAGGGCAGAGGAAAGACTCCGCTCCACCACAAGGCGGCTAGAGAAGCTCAAGTACAGCAGATGAAAGTTGACGGTGCGCGCATGCGCCCGGGTGAGCGAGGGGGCAGGGGTAGCGTGAGTGTGTGAAGGAAGGTTGATGGGTCAGAGTTGTCGGAAATTCACGCAGGCGCAGTGTTGCGGGGAACAGAGTCGGCGCATGAGCAGTGGATGTTCATGTACCCGCTCCCACCCCTCCCGCACTATAGCGTTAGGCACGGTGGCTGGGGCCGCGCGCGTGCGCACTGGTGGTCCTGCTCTGCCTGGGCCTGCCGCGGGTAGCTGCTGGGCTGGAGCGGCCCGGCGGCGGGATGAGCTGCGCCTCGGGGCTGCAGGCGGACTGCGAGGCGCTGCTGAGCAGCTTCCAGGAGACGGATAATGTCCGCTTCG